CGTTTCCATTCAATTCTCGCTACCATTTCCCAACTCATCCCCATTCGAGTCACTACTATATACACCGATCTATTGGAGTGTAAGATATGGACATTATTTTCATTTCAACAGTATTTATAGCAAAATACACATTTCATTACGGATTTAGTGTTCAAGTAATTTATGATCAAATTCTGTAAGAAAGACAAAAATGTAAATTTATAATATTTATTACCAGTTTATACAATACAGTAATATAATCCTATCTTTTATAATATTTCTTAATTTATAATCTCGTAGACTAAATATTTAGTGGAGTACATTTTTATGACAAAGATTATATTTAAAGATTAAGAATTAATTATTATATTCAATGGTTATATCATGTATTATAATTCTTTGTTATCAAAATTCATTGTGTTAACACTTTTTAAACAAAATCATTTCATGAATGCATTTCATAAAACAATTGGTATAATTTAAAGACAACATAAAATATATCTATCATTAACTTAAAGTGTAAGTACTTTCGCACTATTTTTCCATTTTTCTCCATTTTAATGCATTTTCCAAATGTTAGCACAAAATTTTGCAATTTTTAGTTTGGATTTAATTGTTAGATATAAGTTATTGTCTTGATAGCAGTAGATGTTTATAAATTGTATAGTTAATTATATTGTCAAATAAATTATCAATTATTGAATAATAAATAGCTCACCATCGAGTAATCAAGTAGCATCAAAGTTAGCAAAAACTTAATATTGAATACAGTATGTAGACTACATACTATGTAGTGTACGAAATTTAATTACTTTAAAAGTGTTGACATTTTTGCGAAATCTTATTTGTAACTTACTTTCTATTTCGCAAATAATTAAATCAAGTAAATTAATGAATTTAAGACATAATTAGATTAATTGGACGTTTACTACAAAATTCAAACAGATTAAGACGATTAAGAAACACAAGTCATTAGCAGATATTCGTGTGTTTTTGTAAGACTAAGTGCTTTATGACATTATAACACCATTTATACCTAAACTCTATACAATTATTGTGAGATATGTTCACAACATTTTAGTGTTGGCATAAAAATAGGCGACAATTAAGTCATAAATTAATGGATTCATACAAATTTTCTAATATTCTGTAAAATTCCAAGATTAAATTATTTTAGACCACATACACTGACTTAAAATTTATTGTAATAATTTTAAAATTAAAAATTGATAATCTGTTTAATTTAACTAAATTGCCATAAGCTTATAAAATTATTTGAGTTATTCTAGGTTTACATTTTACGTGATTATATTTTCTCTCTCACTAAACATAAAACGGTTTTACAATTTAGTAAAACATAAAAGAAATTTATTGTTTGCATTGTGCGGCCGATTATAGACATGTTTTTGTGGGTCTATCTGAATGCAATACAACGTGAGTATCGGTTTTCAATACACTGTTAATATATTAGAGAATATAAAGTCGACGTTTGGGAATATATTTGCCATTCTTTATACATCTAAAGGAGAAAAAACTCTCTGAAAACAAATTTCTTTTAACTTAAGTATGAATACTATATATACGTATAGAGAATAGAGAATACTATTGTGTGCCTCAAGAATAACACCATAAAAACTTTACTCTCATTTGATTATTCCGATCGATTTGAATGTATGATAAAAATGTAGAGAAAGTTTTTTTTTATAAATTACTGGATTTACTCCATAAAGGTTTGACGAGAATAGGAATTTACAATTTTAAAATGTTTAAATAAATTGAGACGTTATTTTCTATATTATTGATTTCTAGTATGTGTAGGTATTAATATTTTTGCATTAAATAAATTAATGTTTATAAATATCTTGGAATAACAGTTTGCTTTTATTTTATGTTTATTATTATTTATTAAATGGTTCAATTTGTTATAAACATGTTTTCAAATTTTATAATAGATTATCTAATTTTATTCTTTATATTTTTTGCGGAATTCTATATATAGTAATATCAAAAATAAATAGACTTGTTATTTTTGTATAAATTATTTATATATTAATAGATTAGAAAAACAAAACTTCTAATAATAAATTTACTAAACTTCTATATTACTCTAATTAAAATAGTGTTATTTTAACATTTTAAATAAAAACCTATTGTTAATTTATAATTTATATTTTATTAATCTAATAAAATAACAAAATACGCTAATCAATTTAATATTATGCAAATACACACAATACCATTTTAAGTCACTTTAATCCGGGAATGTAATCATTAAGATATTTAAAAATTAAATGAATGACTAAATCTTGAGGTGATCTTCGAGTTTCACTAAATCAGAGCTCAGGTCCCATAGTTTACTGGCCATCGAGTCATCCCTGGCCTCAAAAACCATATTATCCACGCGACGGCAGTTGTCATAATAAAACCCGGACTCATTGTCCAGACTCTCATCCAGTGTACAGTAGAGGGTGGTCTGGGATCCCAGACATGGCTTCAACATAAAATACTTTTCAAAAATTCCTAGATCAGTTTTAGACTTGGAATCCGTTTTAGAGTATCTCTGTATGTCTGTCTGAATGACACCGGGATGTAGACTATATGTATTAATATTGGTTTTGATGAGTCGTTTGGCTAACTCTCGGCTGAATAATATATTGGCGAGTTTGCTGTGATTGTAGGCCTTTACGGGATCGTAGATACCGTTCCTGAGGTTAATGTTGTCGATATTTATTTCTCCCATCAAATGCATACACGACGACACTGTCACCACTCGAGCCGCCGATGACTTCTTAAGAAGCGGTATCAAATGTAAGGTTAATAAAAAGTGACCAAGGTGATTGGTTCCCATTTGCATCTCAAAGCCGTCCTCAGTCTGCCATTCAGGGCAGCCATAAACGCCGGCGTTATTGATAAGGATATCCACTTTGGACTCCAATTGAGATAACTCTTTGGCGAAATGGCGGACCGATTGAAGTGAAGACAAATCAAGTTTTAATAGTTTTATGTCTGCCTTTGGATTAAACGCTTGGATTTCTTTGACAGCATTTTCGCCTTTCTTTACGTCTCGGCACCCGATGTATACCTTTGCCTCTCTTAATGTCAATTGAAATGCCGTCTCCTTTCCGATGCCGGTGTTAGCGCCGGTCACCACCACTACCTGTCCGCTCAGTTTTCTACCACTTTTAACCACTCGTCTCCAACCGAAGAAATTAGTGATTAATTCGTAAACCATTGTATTTATTAAACGCAAAACTTGTAATAATTTCATTTTCAATTGTTNAGCGCCGGTCACCACCACTACCTGTCCGCTCAGTTTTCTACCACTTTTAACCACTCGTCTCCAACCGAAGAAATTAGTGATTAATTCGTAAACCATTGTATTTATTAAACGCAAAACTTGTAATAATTTCATTTTCAATTGTTATAATTATTATAATTATTATCAATATAATGAATATTTTGTCAAATATTATAAACTATAATATATAAATTTAAAATAATATAATTTTATTGATTTTATAAATTGTGTAATGAATTTTATAAATGTCTGTGTAGTGAATGAATTGATTCGTGTAAATGTATATAAGAAAATGATTGTTGCCATATCTTTTATCAAGCATTTTATTGATCACAAGCTGATTTCATTGTATAAATTTTTAACATTTTCTAACATGTAAGTTTCTAATAAAAGAACTTAAATATAAATTTATATGAATGTGTCAATTAAAATCAAAACCTTTTAATTAAAACTCATATTTGATATAAAAACCTTTTCGCAATTCTTACTTTTAATTTAAGTGATACTGTATAAACACTAATGGATTTAATATAATATTAAACAAAAAATTACAGTACAGTATGTATGAATTATTTAAATTAAAATATACTTCAACTTAAATGACAAGTTTTTGGTAACTTTTTAAAAAGCCGGTAGCGCTCGTATTATTTATATGTAAATTAAGGAATAACTTGTGATACATACATAATGTTGTCATTTTGACACATTATACAGTATCAATGGATAAGATAGTTGATGCCTTCCTCATGGGATATAATGTTTTTAAATATTAGATTAGACTTTCTTTAACTTGTCTTCATTTGCATGAATAGTATTTACTGAAGGAATTTGTTTCCATAGATATAAAGCATATCTTATTATAGTGTGCGATCAAAAGTGACGGTTTATGCAAATTATTTTTTATTATTATTTTAATTTATTTCTTAAATAAATGAATTTTTCAGAAATAAACATGTTATTAAACACCATGTCAAGGTTAGACCAATTTTCAATATAATTTGGTGAAATTAACAAAATAAAATAAGCTTATTAAATGATATATAAATATGTAAAAATTATTTTTGTAACTTCAATAATTAAAAAGTTATTCACGTTTA